GTGTGTGTGTGTGTGTGTGAGACTCCAGGTCCTGACTGTGTGTTTTTTCCAGCAGAAGAAGGTGTACCTTGAACGCAGCGTGAAAGAAGCTGAAGACAACATCAGAGAGATGCTTCTTTCCCGGAGAGCTCAGTGATCTGCACCAATCAATAATCGTCATTGTGTTTGTTCTTCATATTAAAACTTTGAAGCTTCACCAAGTCTCTGCTTCCTCCTTTGACAACCAATCAATAACCAGCTTCTATTGACAAGGTTACTGAAAACACTTAACAGGAAATTGTTCAATTCAACTTTATTGAAGTGAAAAATAGAGCTGTGACATCATGATGACATCAGGGTGGGTGGTGACATCATGATGACATCAGGGTGGGCGCTGACATCATGATGACATCAGGGTGGGCGCTGACATCATGATGACATCACCTGTGTGGGTTTTGGACGAAGTTGATCGAGTACAATCCCGACTGATCCTGGTTCACCTGGAAGTTGTTGGTGGAAAGTCCAAACGGCCTCAAGATCATGTTTCCAACATCCTTCAGTTTACCTGAGGGGACATAATGATCAGTGATGGATCTTATTGATTAATTATGTTAATTACTGTGGTGCAGAACATACCAAGCATCTCCTCCTTCAACTTCTCATTTCTCTCCTGAATCTGCTGAGGTAATCTCTGAGAGACAGACGGGCCAGAGTCAGTTTATATTCACACTGAATCATTGATGCAGATCTGGTTTGGCCAGCAGTCAGTGAACTCACCATGCAGGCCTGTCTGGCACTGGCCTGGGTCGGGTCTCGCTCCAGAACCTTCTTGTAGTCGTCCAGGGCCTCATCCAGCTTATCTGTCTGTTCATATAGCTCCGCTCTCCTCAGCAACGCCCGCACATAGTCTGGATTCAACTCTATCGCTACGGCAACCACATAATCAATATACTGATCAATCAATCAATACAAATGGTCTGAACTTATTACTCTATAAAGCCTAGTTTATGCTTCTGCGTCACGTCGACGTAGCCTGACGCGCACCTACAAAAAATCCCAACTACGCGTCGCGTTGACGTGGACCGCTCGCGCTGTGATTGGTCCCCTCAGAACATAAGTTCCGGCAGTTGCTTTTCCGGTCTTTCTTCCTCGTCGTAAAAAAAAAAAAAAAACAACCTCCGCAAACGTCTTCTGTCGCCTGCGCTTCAACATTTGCAATATAAGCATTTGTTCTTCAATATTGATGAGCTCCAACTCCAAATACAGCTGCTCCACCTCGGCCGCCATTATTTACTTCTCGGAAGAAAAAGCAAGGATTCGGCTATAACCCCTGAAACCATACAAACGCACAGCCACACACCCCTAGCGGCATGGCGGTGAATTGCAGAGCAACGCGTTCCCTCGACGCAGAACTTCGAATGCTCAACGCCGTCAACGTGACGCAGAAGCATAAACTAGGCTTTACTATAGCAACAAGACTTAATCGAGGGATCCGGTGATGTCATCACTCACCTCTGGTGCAGTCTGAGATCGCCTGCTCCTTCAGCTCCTGACAGAGAGACACCATTAGCATCATGCTAATGTCACTGTTAGCATGTGGTTAGCGTGTTAGCATGTCGTTACCAGGTGCAATCTGGCTGCAGCTCTGTTGGAGAACAGTACAGATCTTTCTCCACGGAAACACACAGGACATAGAACCAGAGCCTCCGTGTACGTGACGTCTGCTGCCGTATAATCTATAGACACCAGATCATAGATAATCAGTGACTGTATATAAAGACCATCAGTGACAGTCTACTGCAGCCCCCACAAGGGGGTGATCCAGAACTCACCTCTGATTTTAAACTGGATGTTTCCCTTTTCCTTCAGAATTAAACTCTGCTGTCGTCGACTCTGAAACACAGACAACAGATGAACTCACGTGAAGCATCTTTACACACTTATCCGTTTATACGAGAGGATTATTTTAGAGAATTTAAATAAACTGAAAACAGCAGTTTGATGCTTCAGTCTAAAGACGCCACCTGGTGGAGATTTTCCCACCAGGTAACAAACCCATGGCAAACAATGAACATGATTTATCTGGACTGTGGTGGATACTACCTTTTCACCTGGAGTTTAAGTATCAGCTGATACCATAAATGATCTGAGGTCTGTACTACAAAATGAGTTCAACATATCCAGAATATCTTTCCAAGACCTAGCTGAAGTTAACCTACCAACCATCACTCCCCTGGAGTGAACGTCGTTCACATTCTTATATTATAATGATAATTAACTAAATTTATCTCTATCATCTTTTTCCTTTGGTTGCATGATCAGTTGTTACCTCTCTCTCCTCGTCTGTCAGCTCTTTCTCCACCTCGCTCAGATAGTCATCATCAAACTCAACATCCTGGCTCTTCTCCTCCTTCATCTCCGAGTCCAAGTCCTGCAGCCTGTCGTCCTGCAGCCTGTCGTCCCGCAAGTCCTGCAGCCTGTCGTCCTGCAGCCTGTCGTCCTGCAGCCTCTCGTCCCGCAGGTCCTGCAGCCTCTCGTCCCGCAGGTCCTGCAGCCTCTCGTCCCGCAGCCTGTCGTCCTGCAGCCTACTCTCTGCATTGTCTCTTGTTTCAATCAGTCTCTCAGATTTTTTGGGATAGTTTTCTGACTCTGGTTGGGTCTCCTCCTCCTTCCCTCTCAGGTCTGGAGGCTCCATCGACTCCTTACAGTCATAGAAGTCATCATCATCATCGTCCCCGTCCCCGTCCTCTCTGTGTTTTCCTCCTCTGTATCTCTTCTCTGTGCTCATACTGAAGCTCTGCAACACCATAATCAACAAATCAATATCATTTATCAAAACTGACGCTTCACACGCTGGGTGTGTTTGACAGCATCGAATATTTTCATGTCCTGGTGAAGAGGAGTTCACAGCAGATTTCAGGTGGATGTTAGAGAAGATACAGAAACTAAATGAACTGTTTTTACAGAGCTACAGCTAACTGCTAACAGCTACAAACTAGCTACCCACAGCTAACAGCTACACTCCAATTGTATTTGTTTAGCCCATATTCACAAATCACAATTTATCTCATAGGGCTTTAACAAGGTGTGACATCCTGTGCCCGTAACCCACAACGCTAACAGCTACACAGAGCTAGCAGCTACAAACTAGCCATACAGCTAACAGCTACAAATTAGCCACACGCAGCTAACAGCACACTGCTAACTATCAGCGGCTTTAGGCAAAGTGGTTGTGACGCAGCGTTGTTGCTGTTCAATAGAAGTAAAAAGAAGACATCACCTGCTAACAGCTGTTAGCTCAGTTTGCCTTCCGAGGACACGCTCCGATGTCACTTTCGGGCCCTCTTCTTTTTGTTTAATGGCGGATGCACCTAACGTGTAAGGTGCATTACCGCCCCCCACTGTGCTGGAGTTTAGTCTGCAGAAACACGTAACAATAAAAACCTTGAATCTTTTAAAAACTCAAACTTTATATTTCCCTTCGTTGGTTTTACTCGTTTCCTTAGCCTCTTCTGTAGCTTTTCCCCTTCCCCTTTATTTCTGATGCTACATTACGTCACATTTCATTTAGCTGACACTTTTATCCAAAGTGACTGACAATAAGTGCATCAACCATGAGGGACAAACCCAGAACAACAAAAATCAAGTAAAACTAAATTAGAAAAAAAGTCAAACTACAAAGTGCCCCATGTAA